GACAAATTAAGAATGTCGAGTAAAAATTCATGCAAATTCAGACAAAAACTGGTCTTTTCAGACTTTTTGACTTTTGTAGTGTTTATTGATGTTCTTCATCTCAAAGTCACAGTGAGGCCTTCAACACGTAATGTTGTATAATATGTATGCAATATTGTATCATTGAATTGTTTATGAATAAAAATTTTCCAGTTGTATATTAATGTACATTTTACATGTTTTATTATTTGAGATTTCAGAGGTGAAATTCAATAAGGGGTTAGAATTGCTTGCCACAAAAAAACATTCTTTAATTTCATTTGATGTTCCATTCATAATCATGATAATTATGAATCAATTGTCAGGCCTAAAAAAATTGTTTGGTACGGGGAATCAGACCCTACCTTAAAAAAAACCTGCAGACCCTTATTATTTTAGCATTGTGCAATAACTATTGTCATAGGGTCATCCTAGAGTACTATCAATGTCGGAATACATGCTAAAAAAAAAAAATAACCCCGCCTAAATTTTTTGGACATGTTACTCGAACCAAACAATTTTTTTTGTTTAGGCCTCACTGAATCTGCATTTATTTCTTTTTTGTGTCGAAAAAGGAAACTATGTTAGTCTTGCCTTGACGGAGTCAAAAAGCCAGACATCGGTATGCTGTTTCCGACGTCGTCGTCAACAATGTATTAGTTTGTGATTAGGTTTAGTTTAAGGTGAACCAGTAGTGGTTGGTCAATGATATTTGGTATGCAGTTGTATTAGCACTGGCACATCTCATTTCCATGGAGATTATTTGGCCCTGCCCCCTCAGTCATAGTCTATTGACTTTGAAACTTTTGCTTAGTTTACATGTATTAGTTTGTGATTAGGTCAGTTTATGGGGAACCACTAGTGGTAAGTCAACGATATTTGGTATGCAGTTGTATAAGCATTGGCATATCTCATTTCCATGGAGATTATTTGGCTCCGCCCCCTCAGTCATGGTTTATTGACTTTAAAACTTTTGCTTAGTTTACATGTATTAGTTTGTGATTAGTCAGTTCAAGGGGAACCACTAGTGGTAAGTCAATGATATTTGGTATGCAGTTGTATAACATTGGCATATCTCATTTCCATGGAGAATATTTGGTCCCGCCCCCGCAGTCATGGTCTATTGACTTTGAAACTTTTGATTAGTTTACATGTATTAGTTTGTGATTAGGTCAGTTCAAGGGGAACCACTAGTGGTTAGTCAATGATATTTGGTATGCAGTTATATAACATTGGCATATCTCATTTCCATGGAGAATATTTGGTCCCGCAGTCATGGTCTATTGACTTTGAAACTTTTGCTTAGTTTACAGGTATTAGTTTGTGATTAGATTAGTTTAAGATGAACTGCTTATGTTAAGTCAATGATATTTGGTATGCAAATTTATTGGCATTTGCAAGTCTCGTTTCCATGAAGATTATATAGCCCCACCCCCTCATCATGGTTCATTGACTTTGAAACTTTTACATAGTTTACAAGTCAATGTTTGTGTTTAGGTTTGTTGAAAGTGAACGACTTATGATAAGTCTATGGTATTTGCAGGGGCGGATTCAGGTGGGGGCGTGGCGGGCGTGCGTCCCCCTAAAATTTGCAAAGCATGTGTTGTCCTCAGCTTAATAAAGAATATTTCGATAATTTTACCTCCAAAAAATTTTCGACTCGCTCCGCTCTGCGAAAATATAAGTTTGCGCCCCCCCCCCCCCCCCAACCAATTCCTGGATCCGCCCCTGATTTAGTATGCAGTTGTATTAGCATTGGCACATCTCATTTCCATGGAGATTGTTTTGCCATGTACCTTCAGTCATGGTTCATTGACTTTGAATATTTGCATAACTTACATGTTAAAGTATCGTTATTTTAATTTCAACATTTGCATTATCAAAAGTCCAAAAAGGTGAGACATAGCTATGTGTGAACAGTTTATTTTAATGTTTCAAACATAAGTGTGTCGAAGATTTCTGGTGAAGGAACTGCACCAATAATTTTGCCATCACTTGGGGACCTTCTCCGCCATCATCTTGTCTGTCGTCAAAAAACTAAAAAATCTTCTCACCTAAAACTACTGGGCTAAATGTTATCAAAATTTACCTGAATGTTCCTAAGGGCAGATCTTCATTTGTAGTTTAAAAACTGCATCTGTTGATTTGATCCATTAACAAACATGGCTGATGATGCTAAAAATAGAACATAGGGATAATATGCAGTTTTTGGCTTATATTTCAAAAACTAAAGCAGATAGAGCAAATCTTCCTATCTCGTTCAAAATTTTAAAAAAATTTGACAACACGTATTGCCCCTGAAATGACAATTTTTAGTAAATTTTGAAAGTTTTTGCTTTATACATGTATCTCAAAAAAACTAAAGCAGTTAAAGCAAATTTGACAATTTGGAGGTCTTGGAAACGACCAAATAAGATCTACAAATCATCAACTTAGACTGAATAGTCAAATGACCCCTTACAGGAATTGTATTCTATAAATGATGCAGTATCTCTAGAGAAAAACATTCAAATGTATTTTTCAGGTCATTAATGTCATACATGTAGGTTGTAAATCTACGACCTTATAAATATGCATGATATAAACACACAGCAAAAGAACAGTGCTTTTATTGTTGTTCTTCATCTCAAAGTCACAGTGAGGCCTTCAACACGGAATGTTGTATAATATGCAGTATTGTATCATTGAATTGTTTATTAAGAAAATCAACTTAAACGACCTCATAAATCACTTGGCCGAATCCAGAATTAAAAATCTAGGATATTAATAATGTGCAGAGTGACACTGGGCTTTTAGCATACCTGATGAAGGGAGTAAGTTGATGTGTTATATGAATTAAAAGACAAAAAAATATCATCAGTACTAGCATGACTAGACCTACAAAATGCTACTTACCCGTTAAGAAGATCTACAAACAGGCAAAGCTAACCATGATAACTGATTGCAATAAAGAAAAAAGAAAAAAATCAAAATGGCATATTTTTTACCAGGTGAGCGATTGCTGCTCACGAGAGGCTCTTGTTATTTGTTGATATATCTTCCCATCAAATTATGGTGTTACTATATATATAGTTACACTACCCATGCTCATTTTTTCACTTTTGTACACATTTATATCATTCATTTTGTGTTGCAGAATATACATGTTCATCCAGTCTTGCAAAAACTATTTATTCTCAGCTCTTATAGGCCAGGATATTCATTTTGAAAATCCTCCTCCCCTTCTTACACCCCCCCCCCCCCCCCCCCTAAAAAAAATGAAATGATTGTCCCCTAATACCAATGAGACAACTATTCACAAGAGGCCAAAAAGTGTAGATTTTATCAACATACATCATACGGCCTCCAACCATGAGCCAAACCCTTATCCCTGTTGGGATTCTGTGTCTGGAGCAATTTTGTTATTTGGCTACCTTCAGATAATCATTCCGTACACAGAATCTGAAATGGGGTTTAGTGTAAATCCCGTACCACAAGCTATAAAAGCCAGCCATAAGAAAATGTAAAACAATTCACATAAGAAAACCCAACATCATGATTTATTGTTTTACAGTAAAACCCGTACCACAAGCTATAAAAGTCAGACATATAAAAAAGTAAAACAATTCACATGAGAAAACCCAACATCATGATTTATTGTTTTACAGTAAAACCTGTACCACAAGCTATAAAAGACAGACATAAGAAAATGTAAAACAATTCACATGAGAAAACCCAACATCATGATTTATTGTTTTACAGTAAAACCCATACCACAAGCTATAAAAGACAGACATAAGAAAATGTAAAACAATTCACATGAGAAAACCCAACATCATGATTTATTGTTTTACAGTAAAACCCATACCACAAGCTATAAAAGACAGACATAAGAAAATGTAAAACAATTCACATGAGAAAACCCAACATCATGATTTATTGTTTATTATGATGAGTTTTAACAGATGTAGAAGACATTGACTGGTGGAGCATTTACTTTTGATTTGTCAAAATTGTCATATGCTTATTCAACTAGTGCACTCAACACAGCAGCTTGAGGAAGATTTGTAAATAAAAAAACTGTAACGTAAGGCATTCTTGAGATAAATCTGAGGAGTTTAGACTGGAAAGGAATTGATCAACCGTGATATGTTTATTGTCTTTCAGGTAAACATACCACATTTGTAGCCAGGAAGTGAGATGTAGACAAAGTTCCTCCTTTGTGAAAAACAAAAATATAATTAACCCCTTATAAAGTGGAAATTCAGAATAAATTTTTTTATTAACGTTCCAGCAATGTCCAAGATAACTCCCATTAGAGAAAAGTTTGGCTTATAACAGGCTTTAATGTACCAAGTCGGGAATATGAAAGTTGTTTTCCATTCGCTTATTATCACAGATCAAGTTTGAATTTTGGTGGCGACACTTTTACCGTTCTAGAGTTGTGTCCCTTTTCAAATGGAAAAATTGCTGCATTTTTCGTGTCCGTTCTCTAACTTTATTTTGCCTCATGCAACCAAATGTTATGAAACTTATACACAATGCTTATTACCACAAAACACAGATCAAGTATAAATTTTGGTGGCGTCACTTTTACTGTTCTAGAGATATGCTCCTTTACAAATGGAAAAATTGCTGAAATTTTCGTTTCTGTTCTCTAACTTACGTTTGCCTCATTTAAATGTTATGAAACTTATACACAATGCTTATTACCACAAAATTTAGATCAAATAAAAATTTGGGAAGCGTCACTTGTACAGTTCTGGAGTTATGTCCCTTCATAACATTATATGCAAGCGGGGCATCAGGACACATTCCCCATTTATTTCATACTATTATGAATTAATTCTAAAAAAACTAACACTGAGCTTTGTATGGAACTATGGAAGGTTTAGACCTCTTCTTTTTTCATTTATAACAATTATATAAAAATTCAGAGAAAGTTTAACCAATATTTAAATAAATGTGATGTAAACTGAAATTGAGCTATTTTATACTTTCAGTTTGAAGATCTATTTGTATTTATCTATTCAAGGTCCAGTCAATTTATTACTTTAGGTAAGTGAACATAATAGTCAAATTGGATTGGAACGATTAATAATTTAGTTTATCAAATAAACTTAATGTTCATGTGAATATTAAAATTTTCAAAGGGGAGATAATCAAGAGCTAGCTGGTTCATTTACACTGGTCAGTGCTTTTTAATTTTTTTTAACAAGATTAACATTTTTCACTTTGCAACCTCTATACAAAAATAACATGAAGTAATTACATATTTAATTGCATTTAAGAGTAAAAAACTGATTAAACATTGTAATCATTAAAATAGGAATTGTATATAACAATAGAGTTGTTAACTAAGAAATCAGCTGTATGAATGAAAGATGGGAGACAATGTTCTCAATAAGGCAGTCAATGAGTCATGGACTCATGAAAATGGGTCTGGACTCATCATTTTGAAAGCGGATGAATCTAAAGATGCATAAGGATCATAAAATATTGTATCAACTAAGCACGCATATCATCATATCATTTTATAGCAAATGTTTAAAAATAATCAAAATTTGATGTCATTTCCTTTCTCTGTTTTATCATATAGACTAAAGCAATAATTATGTAGCAATGAAATTTCTTCTCACTGTTGAAATCACCATGGTCATAAATGATGATTCCCTGGACTTGCCTTTAAAAGTCCTTAGTCAGAATCCTAGGAGGTCTGTGTCAATCAGACAGCAACCAATCAATGACGATTCCCTGGACTCGCCTACAAAAGTCCTAAGTCAGAATCCTAGGAGGTCTATGTCAATCAGACAGCAAACAATCAATGACGATTCCCTGGACCTGTCTTCAAAGTCCTAAGTCAGAATCCTAGGTGGTCTACATGTATGTCAATCAGACAGCAACCAATCAATGAGAGAGGTCAAAATGGTATTCAACAATAGATTCCCTGGACTCCCCTCCAAAAATCCTTAGTCAGAATCCTAGGAGGTCTGTGTCAATCAGACAGCAACCAATCAATGAGAGATGTCAAAATAGTATTCAATGAGTCTTTATTACATGTTATTATTTCTACTTGAAATACAAACATTTATATTTCCAGATTGAACATCTATTATTGATATTTATTTATAGACCCTTGTCCAGTCAATGTGACCCTCGTCCAGTCATTATCCTTGTCCAGTCAAGTTGTTATAGGTAAGTGTACATTATTTGTGAACTATATATATCCATCTGATAAAACATTTATAATGGAAAATCCCTTAAAAAGATAATTTATAATCAGATTTTTAAAATATGTTTATACTTGATTTAAAATCTGCATCCAATGAAATTGCTTAGGGCTTTTCCAGAATTATTTGAATGGGGTGGGGGGGGTTCTTTTATTCAAATTTGATGCGTGGTGGTTATTTTAGACAGAAAGCCTTAACAATTTCATTAAGTAATCAATTAAAATTTTATGCATGGCGGTGTTAATTTAAAAGTGCATTCCTATGACCCCCCCCCCCAATCCCCCTGCCAACCAACATGGCCGACATGGCTCAAAATAGAATTTATGGTTAGAATGCAAGTTTTGTCTATTATCTTGAAAACTGCTATAGGTAGAGAAATTCTGACAGACAGAAATGTTCACAATGTTTACATCAACCTACTGTCCACTTGAATCGATCAAAACTGGCCTACAACTTCTTATAGGAGTTATTACCTTCGAATGACCAATTGTACCATTTTTTCTTGCAAGGTCTACATGTCTGTCACACTGGATTCACCTGACCAGGACTTCATTTCATGGATCAGTGATCAAGGTTAAAATTTCATGATGAAGTCCATATCTCAGATACCATAAGCAATAGGTCAGCTATTTTGGTGTATGGAATGCTTGTATAGTGAACATGTTTATCTGGCAGGATTTTTAGACCTTGATTTTATTTTCATGGTTCATTGGTCAGAATTAAGTTTTTGTGGTTTGGTCAGGTTCTCAGATACTATAAGCAATAGATCAGCTGTATTTTGGTTTATGGTATGCTCGTTAGGTAAACATGTTTGTCTATCCACATGGTTTATATGACCGTTACCTTATTTTCATGGTTCATTAGTCAGTGTTAAGTTTTTGTGGTTTGGTCAGGTTCTCAGATACTAAAAGCAAAAAATCAGCTGTATTTTCCTTTATGGTATGCTCGTTAGGTAAACATGTTTGTCTATCCACATGGTTTATATGACCGTTACCTTATTTTCATGGTTCATTCGTCAATGTTAATATTTCATGGTTATATAAAGATAAGGAGATGTGGTATGATTTTACATATTTTACAATCATGACAAATCTTTGAAATTTATATAAATGCAAAGTTTTTAGTATTTGTTAGTTGGTATTATCATTTGATATAAAAATAAGGAGATGTAGTATGATTGCAAATGAGACAACTATCCGCCAAAGTAAAAATAAAGATATGTGGTATGATTGCCAGTGAGACAACTATCCGCCCAAGTAAAAATAAGGAGATGTGGTATGATTGCCAATGAGAACTATCCGACAAAGTAAAAATAAGGAGATGAGGTATGATTGCCAATGAGAACTATCCGCCAAAGTAAAAATAAAGAGATGTGGTATGATTGCCAATGAGACAATTATCTGCCAAAGTAAAAATAAGGAGATGTGGTATGATTGCCAGTGAGACAACTATCCGCCAAAGTAAAAATGAAGAGATGTGGTATGAGTGCCAATGAGACAACTATCCGCCAAAGTAAAAATAAAGAGATGTGGTATGATTGCCAGTGAGACAACTATCCGCCAAAGTAAAAATAAAGAGATGTGGTATGATTGCCAATGAAAACTATCCAACAAAGTAAAAATAAGGAGATGTAGTAATTGCCAATGAGACAACTATCTTCTAAAGTAAAAATAAGGAGATGTGGTATGATTGCCAATGAGACAACTATCCGCCAAGTAAAAATAAAGAGATGTGGTATGATTGCCAGTGAGACAAATATCTTCCAAAGTAAAAGTATGGAGATGTGGTATAATTGCTAATGAGACAACTATCCACCAAAGTAAAAATAAGAAGATCTGCCATAGTAAAAATAAAGAGATGTATAATTGCCAATGAGAACTATCCGTCAAAGTAAAAATAAGAAGATCTGCCATAGTAAAAATAAAGAGATGTGGTATAATTGCCAATGAGAACTATCCGTCAAAGTAAAAATAAGAAGATCTGTTATAGTAAAAATAAAGAGATGTGGTATGATTGCCAATGAGAACTATTCGCCAGAGCAAAAACAAGGAGATGTGGTATGATTGCCAATAAGAACTATCCGCCAAAGTAAAAATAAGAAGATCTGCTATAGTAAAAAAAAAGGAGATGTTGTATGATTGCCAATGAGAACTATTCGCCAGAGTAAAAATAAGGAGATGCGGTATGATTGCCAATGAGACAACTATCCGCCAAGTAAAAATAAGGAGATGTAGTAATTATCAATGAGACAACTATCTTCTAAAGTAAAAATAAGGAGATGTGGTATGATTGCCAATGAGAACTATATGCCAAAGTAAAAATAAGAAGATCTGCTATAGTAAAAATAAAGAGATGTGGTATGATTGCCAATGAGAACTATTTGCCATAGTAAAAATAAGGTGATGTGGTATGATTGCCAATGAGAACTATCCGCCAAAGTAAGAATAAGAAGATCTGCGTTAGTAAAAATAATTGCCAATGAGACAACTATCTTCTAAAGTAATAATAAGAAGATGTGGTATGATTGCAAATGAGTTTTATTCACCAGAGTAAAAATAAGGAGATGTGGTATGATTGCCAATGAGACAACTATCTTCCAAATAGTAAGGTGCCCAATGTCCAAAAAGTCTTCTAGTTAACGAGTTTAAGTCAACGGATAAAACACGGCTAATTGTTTTTGCAAATTATAGAAAAATCATTATATTTTACAATCATGATTGTCGTCGTAAGTTCCCATGGTCATGATTTTTCCAAATTTTGTGTTTTAAAATTATTACGTGTATCATCACAATATTTTTTACTCTGATTAAAGCAATGAGACACAGTGCATGTGTGTGCCAAATTTCATGTGTGAAATAAAAGTAGTTTTGAAGAAATTAGCAATTAAAAATACAAATTAAGTCAACATTTTGTCATTGATTAAACACAGATTATCCTGTGACATTAATCATTTTGTTGCTTACACTATTAGGTCATTAACAAGGACAGTGGTCACTCAATACATTTCTCATTTTTGCTTGTTGTGTGGTTGATTTATTTGTTTTGAATATCCAGCTAACTTCATAAATTGTTATTTTCTTTGGAGAAATATGTTTTGTGTCTTTTTTTCAATACTTTAAACTTTTTATTGAATAGATTTTTTTTTTACAATTGTAGTATAACATGTATAAGAATCAAATCGGTCGGTTCCGTTTCACACCTGGAATATGGCACATCAATTAAGTCTATGTTATGGTCTTGCATGATGTTTTCGACCTAAATCCCCCTCGGTGTGAACGACAACAAAAATATATCACCGTTCGTGCTATAAATTATACACCAGCAGACACAACTGCAATAATTTCAAAGCTGAATTGGCAATAGGTTTGTCCGAGCAAACCAATGAAGCCAATGACCTATATGTGCCAAGCTGGCAGCAGGAATTTTTTTTCGGATTGACCAGCTGTTGCTACGCATGCTTATTTTTTTCCGTGGCTTTTCTGCGGAAAAATTTATTTTCACTTTTGTACACATTTATATCCTCAACTATCCTGCATTTCATGTTGCAGAGTATTCATTTTCATCCAGTCTTGTGCAAAGTCATTTATTTTCAGTTCATACCAAGCCAAGTTATTGATGTTCAAAATCCTACTCCCCTCTCTCCTTTTGGAATCAAACGGTCTTTCCCTTACTGAAAGCTAATGAAAGGACGTCATCAATTTATAGTCTGAGAAGATTATGATCATAAACATCATTACCGTAAAAACAAGGATTCTACTGGTACAGCATGTTTTACTAACTGATTGAATTATGTCGGAATTCTTAGAAAAAAGATAGGATTATACATTCTTTATATGCCTTATCAAGTCCGGATCGAGCAGGTATTTGAGTGGTTGTCGTTTGTTCATATCTGTCAATTTTGTTTTGGTAAATTGTTTTGTTATGAATTAGGCTGTTGGTTTTCTCTAATGAATTGTTTCGATTTTTTTATAGCCGACCATACAGTGGGTTTTTCATATTGTTGAAGGCAGTATGGTTGCCTAAAACTGCTTACTTCCACAAAACTTATTTTTATATATTAAAAGTATTACATAAAATTAACATTATCAATGTTCCATGTAAATGAGGGAAGGTCAGATGAACTCTGCCACAAAGACATGTACACTTTGCTACCATTGCATACACCAAACATATTTTACCCACTACTTATATCACCTGAGATAAGGACTTGACCACTGAAACTTAACCTTGTTCACTGATCCATGAAATGAGGCCGAGGTCAGGGGAACCATGTATTACCGACAAGTAGACCTTGCAAGGATACCATATATTAGTAACCAAATATAGTTATCCTAGAACTCATGATAAAAGAGATGCGTCAAAGTCACCAGTGAGACATTAACATGAAGAAAAAAAGCTATACAGTTGTTTAGCAGTCACTAAACCATGAAAATGAGGTCAAGGACAATGATTATATGACAGACGGGAACTTCGTGACACAATGGATCTATATACAAAGTATGAATCATCCGATTCCTCTACCCTCTGAAATATAAAGATACAAATGTATACAAATATTTATTTGTTCAGTGTATGTTCACTGGTGTTAATATGTCTTTTGATTGAGTTAAGCCATTTCAATTGATATTTTATAGTGCCTCTTTCTATGTTGTGATGTTACACTATTGTTTCAGATAAGGGTGAAGGTTTGGTACCATTAAAACGTTTAAACCCACTGCAATTGTTTGCACCTGTCGTAAGTCAGGAATCTGAAGTTCAGTAGTTGTCGTTTGTTGATGTGGTTCATAAGTGTTTCTCGTTTCTCGTTTTTTATATAGATTAGACCGTTGGTTTTCCCGTTTGAATGGTTTTACACTAGTAATTATTGGGGCCCTTTATAGCTTGCTGTTCGGTGTGAGCCCAGGCTCCGTGTTGAAGACCGTACTTTGACCTATTATGGTTTACTTTTATAAATTTTGACTTGGA